TTGACTCTCGTAGATTCTTAGGACGTGGGAAGGAAGTGATGGCATCAATGTATTCTGGGTTCACCGATACACCTTTAGAGGATACCACGAAACCCAGAAACACCACCGAATCTCTTTCGAACTCGCACTTACTAGCTTTCACGTACAGGCTCGCCTTCCGCAGTACCTCAAAGACCTTCGCCGTAGTTCCTCGTAATTCCTCCAACGTATTCCCATAAATGAGGATATCGTCAATGTAGACCACGACTCCATTCCCTAGTAGCTCTCTAAACACCTCATTTAGGAAGTGTTGGAAGACCGCGGGGGCGTTTCGCAGCCCATCACGAACAACCAGAGATTCAAACATACCATACTGTGTCCTGAACGCCGTCAGGTGTTCATGTCCCTCAGTCACCCTCAACAATTGGTATGCTCCAATTAGATCTAGTTTGCTGAAATACCTTGCTTTTCCAAGTTCTTCGGTAATTTGACCTATTAGAGGGAGAGGGTAGGCATCTGGTATGGTCGCTTCGTTCAGTTTTCGATAGTCGATGACCATTCGCCACTGTCCTTCGGCTTTCTTCGGTATCATAAACATTGGTGAGCCGTATGGCGAGTTACTTGCCCGAATTCGGCCAGCGGCGATTTCGCGATCTAGTATGTCTCTCAGCGCGCGTCTCTGATCTTCTCCTTGAGCATAGAGGGAGGCGACCTTAAGGTTCGCCCCCTCCTTAAGCTCAAACTTCAAATCGTAGGACCTTGAAGGGGGAAGGGTCTCTCCTCCCTTCTTCGGATTAAAAACGTCAATGTACTGGTGGTATTGTTCAGGAACTACCTGGAACAACTCGTCTTGTTCCTCCGGGCTCAGCTCTTCAAGCTCATCTTCGCCGCGGCGGTCTATCGCGTCCGTCAGAGTCGGCAGCCCTATGGCCGCTAACTTCGCCGCACTTGGTGGGGTTGGGATGGGAAATTTCACCGAGTTGTCTCTTCCATCAAGGACAACCCCTTCCTTCCTCATCCAATCCCACCCTATCACAACATCTGCGTCGCAGAGCGTTGTTACATCGAGACAAACAGATCGCACTTCGGCGTCCTTCGTCAAACTAAATCCGACTTCGACAAACTCGGTGATGGGTCCAGCGACACTCACCGAGCCGTCGAACATGTGAACGGGTACGCTCACCTGATATTGTCTCCTTTCTGCGCCTATCTTCGTCGCCGCTCTAGGACTTATATATGAACAAGTAGCCCCGGTGTCCCAGAGCGTAGTTAGCTTCATTCCATTAATGAAAATGTCCGATTTAGGTTGATCTCTGGAAACGGAAGGGATGAGGAGATGATTATCGACATTGCATGAACAAGGGGTACTGAGTGGTGTATTTTTGTATTCACAATCCTCTGGCTCCATCAGCTGTGTTTCTTTTATGGGTTTGGGAATGGTGGCCGAGAGAATATGGCGGACCCGCCGAGCCTCGCCTACTGCGACAGGTCCTCTTCTTTTCCCTGGTCCTCTTCCAAATCTACTTCTCCTCCAACCGCATTCAAGTTCCTCCTCTGTCCGAGAGGTACTGCGTTCCCTCCCGATCCTCCACCACGTTCTCCGAACTTCTCCCCCCATGGAGGCAACAGTCCAACCTTAACCTTAGCCTCCCTTACAGGGCATTCCTTCAGCCAATGTCCTGCTTCACCACACTCGGTACACTTCCCCTCCTTCCTCCTTGTCTCCCTCAGATCGGAGCTCGGCCTAGGCCATCTTCGGCGAACTTCGTCGATGTTTGGCGGTGTACTCTTTACCACCGTCGACCTCATAGCCGCCTGGGCACCACCCTGCGCCGAAGGTTGCCCCTTTTCCCATTTCTTCTCTTCTTTCTTCTCCGTCCTCTGACTGTCCACCACTGTCGTTGTCCTTATCCCTCCTTCCCTTTTCCTCTCTGCCTCCTTCTCCACTTGTCTCCTCCACAGGCGGTTGTCCAAGGGAATCACAAACTCCAATAGCTCTTTTACAGTCCCAAACGATCTACCGTGTCTTGCGATTTCATCTAGAAGGTGCGATTTTAGTCCTTTCTTGGCTCGGTCAACTAGGTTTCCATCATCAGACCACTTGAGAATCGCAACATGTCGCTGAAAGGCGGAGAAGTAGTCCGAAGCAGACCCGGTTTGCTTGAGGTCGTTAAGTTGTCGGGCCGCAGTTCCTTCTTCGTCTGGATCACCAAAGTTAGTCTTGAGGTACTTAACGAACTGATCGTGTGTCGTGAGGTACTCAGGAAGAGGTCTTTTGGATAGATCGGGCTGCACTGCAAGAAGAGGTGTTTCGCGTAGATGAGAGATCATGAAAAAGACTTTCTTAGTGTCGTCGGGGAAAAGATGAGAGTTCAATTCGAAGTGTACGTCGCACTCAGACAGAAAGGCGGTTAACTTGTTCCGATCTCCTCTCCATAGGTCTGGGTTAGGTAGCTTTATCCCTTTCCGTTGTTCGCCCACTACGCTTGGGGTCGCCGAAGTTTGCCGTCCCATGGCGTACCTCACCCCTTCTGATATCCCTTCTGCAATCCCGCCCACTGTATCCCTTTCTCTTCTCTGTTCCCATTCCTCCCTACGTCTTCTCTCCTCCATCATGTCTTTGTTCATATTCGCCACCATCTGCATCAAGGCCAACACCACCCCTTGTGTTCCTTCTTCTCCCAAGTTCGCCGTACTTCCAGTGTTTTCTCTTGGGCGTGGGGTTTGGTCTGATCCAAGTGGGGATCCCACAGGTGGGAGAGCATTAGACGGAGGAGAAGGAGGGTTAGAAAGCACCGGTGGAACGAACTCATCTCCTTGAATTGACCCCCCCACACTATCCTCAACTCCAAGGTCCTGCCCCATTGCTCTGCTAAGCTCCTCCAATGCTCTCCTCTCGTTCTCCTCCATCCTGTCTCCATCCCTACTCATGCCTCGTGTAATTCTTCTTTCTGGTTCCATATTATCTTCGTACTTCTCCGAGGTTCGCACGGGTCGTCGGTAAGAGCGATCCTTGATACTGTCACGGCCGTCGAACAACTACTTCTTAATAGACCGACGGTCGACGAACCTCGGCTAACTTCACGCTCTGAGTCGATGTCTCGCCCAACCAGGAGGGCGCAGACGTCGAAAGGGGTGTAACTACGGCGTACTTCGGCGTAGTTACTCTAACTAGGGTTTTGATCTACTGATGGCGATGTATCTTGATTTATAGCTATCTCTATCTGTCTTTTACTACTGACAACAATCAAGGATCGCTGAAGAACTTCAGCGATCTTCTCAGCTAATATTATCTACTCCTCCTAGACGTTCATCCAACCCTCTCGCGCTTTGACGTACTTCAACGCACTTCGTCCAACTTCCCCGAGCCCTCGGCCATCCTCTTCCTCCTTCGACTAACTCCGCCTAACATCGCCGCACTTCTGCTCCCATTGTCCCTACTTAGCCTAACTCCGCCTAACATCGCCGCACTTCTGCTCCCATTGTCCCTACTTAGCCTAACCCCGCCTAACATCGCCGTACTTCTGCTCCCATTGTCCCTACTTAGCCTAACCCCGTCTAACTTCGCCGTACTTGGTGTCAGAAGTCCTGAGTTACGTGTAGAGTAAAGAGGTTAAGGCGTGATGGGGTTTTGATGGCCAAAGGAGGGTCATTGTTGGTGGAGTAATCGAGGTGTCACGACGTAGTTCGTGACAGGGGTGTGAGTGAGTGAGTGAGTTTACGAAAGCCTGGTAAATGTGTATGGGTGTACACGAAAAGCAGTAAGTATGGTTGAGGTCAAGAGTGAGAGAGAAGTCAATGAGTGAGAACGAAAACAAATCAACAAAGGTGTTGTAGTCGTCGTCTGTTATTGTATATTTAAAGTGTTGCTCTTGGAACCATTCTTGAAATGAGCGCTCAAATTCCACACTGAAAGCACTCTGGACAACAGACATGATTGTTGTAGTTTATGTCAAAGGAGTCGAAGGGGTTGTCTTGTGGATGTTGAGTCAGGAGATCAGAAACCAAAGTCCTGGGGAAAAACGGAAAATTCATGGAGTGGCAGATCTCCATGACGCTTCGGAGGGTCATGAGGCAGGACCATGACGCTCCAGAGAGTCATGTCTTTCGTGCATCACGATCTAACCCGTGACCCTCCGGAGCGTCACGTCTCCGGTGCGTCACCTAACATTCTCCGTTCTCCTGTCCTACCTAATCGCTATCTCTTTGTCCTGCAATACTTTTCCTTCATCTCTGTGTCCCTCATCTATCTCCGTCTTCCTTTGCTCTTCCACCTCATATTGTTTCCCATCTTTACTCTGTAGATTTCGGTATCACTCTGCTCCTGTTTTAGTATATAGAAACAGCCCTTTTTCGTAGGTGTCTTGTCGAATGTATTTTCTTGTCACTTAGTAGATCTTTTGCCACTAGATCTCATCGACTCATAGTCTCTGTGATCCACTACATCATTAAACTATCTACTACATCACTAATTCTGCTCCCTGTGAGGCCCTATAGCCATAGCTCATAGACGCAGACTATTTCCAACGTCTGGTCCTGACAAGCTCTCACTCCTGCTCTGCATTCCTGTTATTATAGCTAAGAGTAATTAGGTCATTTCTAACTGAGGCACTACTTGAAACATATCCAAGAGTAACCTGATATAATATGCACCACAATCTAGCTACCACTTTTGAAAACAATGAAGCTGTGTTTGACCAAGTGAATGGCGGGTCACGGATTGATTCGTCACCGGTCCAGATCCGAGTACAGTAGTACACTAGTGATTCTCGCGTATATCACATAGTTTTGTCCGCTTCAGGAAGGTTGAAGGAAATGGAAAGCACTAGTTGTCCACTTTTACCCTTTCACGGGCGGATCTCGAATGACTTGAAAGGTCGGAATGGAAGTCCGAAAGTTGTTGATGTGAAGATTTGAACAAGAGGGGTATGAGATTCTTCCCCTATAACTCTTCCTTCCCTCAATCAATCTCATCAACTTCGAGTATAAAGATAAGAACTTGATACAATTGCAACTTTGGAATGGCTACGGAAGACGGGACACCGGTAAGATCCCTCACACAACGCTCCGGTCAAGCGCTCAATACAACGGTGATATACGATGGAGCGTGTTCCCAGTACCCACAGGAAGTAATGGATGCAGCCGGGATGATCGTTCCTTCTGAGGAAGAGTCTCAGAAACTCTTGCACAGTGACTCAGTGAGTTTATTCATATTTTCTTAGTTGGTCTAGAGTTAAGAGATCTGGATAAAATGATTACATGCTGCTGATCACATTACTGTAGATTGAAATCCCTGATCACATCATCCGAGTGTCTCGAAAAGAGAAGGATTGGGGGCCATTAAATTCAAATACGCTAAAGGAAGGATCAGCTTGGTATGTCGTATCAAAAAGAAATTATCCACTGGCTCATCCTATCCTATCGAGTCATGATTGGAGAATTCCTATAAATGATGCTGTTGGTATTTACCCTCCGCCCGAGAACGTGGGCGAGCACTCTTGGAGACGTGCCATCTACCTTCCAAGTAAAAATCTGTCCGCCGAGGTTTGCTTTACCGTGAATAGCGTAGGCTGGTTTCGTCCAGTAATAAATGCTGATAGGCCTGAAGAGGTGATGCCGACCCTAGAAGATATGGTGCAGAGCCAACACTACACTGTTGTTCGCTCGTGGAAGACAAATGTGGACAATGATACATTTTCTCATTGTGTAGGAGTGAAGGGCCCTGGTGCCATACTTTGGCATGGTCCAACATATGACCAGAGAGAAGGCTCAGAGGAGGGGATGGAGGAAGGACAATAATGAGAGATGATGATTGAACGTGTCGATCAGTGAGGAATGCATGAAGATGAGGTGTTTCTTTAACTCACATATCAACAGCATGACCTTATCTTGTCATAAACTCCTTGGTCTTTTGGCCACGGCTGACGGTAGTCATGACATGTGAGCATTCATAGCCTATACAGAAAGATCAGTTGGAAAAAAAAATGGTGAGTGGGTCATTTAAAATTCCACTGTGGTGATCGTGGTCATCTTTTGCACTTGTACGACTTCAATTCCACGGTGATTCTTGTCACATCTTCCAGTCATAGTGGGAAATTATTTCGAATATAAAGTAATACTTAGTGAGTGAGGAATGAGTGAGGAAATCCAAGTTAGTAGGACACTAAATGAGATGATTCGTACAATTCGTGAGATAGCACACAATGATGATTGTATAGGGATGGCATGAAATTGACACAAAAGTGAGGTAAAAAGATTGCATGGAAAACGTACTTCCATACTATGCTCGTACCATTCGTTACCCTTGAATCTCTAATACTTCCACGACCGACTCTCCGTGCTTCCTCCTTCGTTTCCTTTTCTTCCCTTGATTTTCTCCCTCCGTCTGCAACTCTGTCTTATCTGCCTGATCCCTGATTGATAGCCGAGTTCCTCCCTGCTCAGATTCGTCAACCCCACCCCTCTTCTCTCCCGCTGCTATCGTTCGAGGCCTCTTCTCTCCCGTTTGAAGTTGAACTCGTGAGGAAGTCCCTTTCTCTCCAGTCGCCGATATAGACTGAACCCGCGGTTTCTTCTTCTTGACGCTTAATGGATTCGGACCTTTTCTTTTCCCTCTCAATTCCCTTCTCTCAAGTCCTACCCCTCCATTCATCCTTGAACCTCTCGACCCACTCGCTCCGTTTGCTTCACCCAATCCAGCCGATCTAATCGTTCCCGTCCCAGCAGGTAAAATTATGTTCTTATCAACACCTACTTCTATCTCCTCCCCTTCACCTCTTCTCTGTTCTTCTAACCCCGTCTTTACCTTCAAACTCGCCTCACTAAAGGGAGATAACACCAAAACGCCTTTAGGATTGAAATGAACCACTGGTAGTCCCGGTACTTTCTCCAAATCCTTCCTCAATCCGTAAGCCTGAGCAGCGAGGATGTAACGATGTTTGTTGTTTGGACCGATGACGTCTGTGAGACATTCGTGGGATGACAAAGGGAGACGGTGGTTGCATTTCCGTCGTTCGAATGATTTTGCGAATTCTATCAGGGGTTGATGAGATGGACCTAGGGAATAGAGAGACTGGATGGAACATTGTGTTATCACTGTGGCGTCAGTATTTGGGTGTAAGTATCACTCGCACAGTACAGCAATGAAATCAGGTTGTACGACCAAGTATTCCCCATAAACCCCTTCCGCACACTCCAACCTTACTTGGTAGCCAGCAAGATATGATATGAAGGGGGGGAAGGAGGGTGACGGGACTATGTAAGACGGGACAAGTGGAAGTAGACCACTCACTGATCTTGATATCCCCCTGTACACACATTTCGAGCTGTTTAACGAGGTTCATCCCCGGTGGTGATTTCAACAACAAATCGTCGTTTACTGCATATCAGCTTGTTCGTAGCTCTGACGGTTAGACTGTAAGAAGAACACTCACTCAATATCTGATAAGGTTGTCTGAACCCAAACACCCTGGTGTACATCGCCATCGCCCTTTTATACGTTTTCGCTCTTTTCGTGCGCATCTCGCTTGATAACTCCCCTTGAGCTTAGATAGACTCTTCAGCTTCTGTTCCCCCAGTTGGTTATTCAGTGCTCTGTCACTAGTATAGCCGATACCCGCCGTAGACACGGTGGATATTATCGTACTTGTCGTCGTCGTCGTCAAAGTCAACTTCACCATCTTGGTCGAAAAGTTGCACCCGAACGAACGTTGTATGTTATGACGTGGCATTTCAACACTTTCCCACCTGCTCTACGAAGGATCAAAGTTGGTACTTCAACGTCGAAGACATCATCAGCGACGTTGACCACGACACATATGACATCTAACACGATGGGTAAACATGGGGATGACGGTGAAGATGATTGGGAAACTGTACGTCTGCTCATCACCCTTGAGCATTCTCATCACTCTCTCCATGCGTGCACCGTCGTCGTGGTCGTTATCATCATCATCCCAGGTTGTCCTCATGTTCTGTGCTAAAACCCTCAGGCCGACTTGCAACCTACGAACCCACGCTTACGTCCCTCTGCACCTGCTTTCCAACCTCGCCACCTGGCCTCGCAATCTGGTCCATCGCGTCTGACCTCTTTACCTACGTCATCAGCCTCTTCTTCCTCTGGCGCTTCGCAAACACCACAAGCACCCGTCTCCAGACCTTTTTCGTCAGGCCAGAACCAAACACCAAAGCTCGTCTCTCGACAGGATCCATCACGGCCAGGAAACTTTGGTCCGACTTTCAACGCTGCCTCTAATGAACAAGATGCTAGGGTGCAAGTTAGGGACGAGAGTAATGTGGGAGAAGGAGGCAGAGGATCAACTGGTCAAGAGGGCGAAGCAGCAAGGGGTGATGGAACACCAGGAGAAGGTGAAACAGACGGATGGTTCGTACCCCGTCCCATGACAGTGAGGCAATTATGGGAGAGGTGAGTTATCGTTGTCCTCTTTCAAGCATCGTTCATTTCACCTCGTCGTCGTACGCTTTTCTTGGACCAAATCAACGAAGGATCAGAATAATCTTACTGACCCCCCAAGCCCAGCTCCAATCCCTCAACCTACTTCTCCGATCCCTCCTCTCCCATCAGTCCGTCAAATACTACGTCGTCCACAAACACAAGAACCCTCTAAATCTTCTCTCCGAACACCAGGTCCGGCCAAGACTTACGAAGAGAAGGAAGAAGCTTATAGGTTGGCTAGGGAAAGGATATTCGGACAAGGCGGGCAAGGGGGCAACGGAGTATCACCCGGAGGTTCCAGAAGTGTTAGTCCTCAAATAGGAGGTAACAGTCCTCAAGTAAGAGAAAAAAGTCTTCAGAAAGGGGACAGGAATGGGTTTACTTCATCCATCACCAAATCTGTTTCGCCCGATGGACAAGGGACTTCGACCGCTTATCCGACTTCTCCAATATCTTCATTTGATCCTAATTCCAACAATCCGTCAACAACAAACTCTGATCATATTCACACTTACAACCCATCAAGATTTGACAATGGCAACCCGAATCCTATCTTCTCAAACCAAATTCAACTCAACCCCAACAACTTTGATCCAACTCGCCCCCACTACGATTCATCAGCTTCCACCAACTCGAATCTCATTCACGACCCCACAAAACAACGACCCCAGACTTACAACCCGAATCCTCAACCCTACAGCCCAAATTCCCAACTTTACAACCCAAATCCTCAACTCTACAACCCAAATTCCCAACTTTACAACCCATCTCCCCAACTATACAATCCATCTCCTTTTCCCACTTCCCAAGAATCACCTCATCAACGATTCTCTACCCCTCCATTAAATGGTGTATTACGTCAACCTCGTGGACCTGGAGGTATGGGATTCGGAAGATGATTCTAGCGAATATCCTGTCTTTTCGTCAATCGTTCTTGTCCTCGATCTCTTCTTTCCTGTGATCGACCCTTACAATAGTGTCTTGCAACGTTTGGTCTTTCCGACGCAATGGTCACTTTGGTCGTATGGATTTCTTGGAAGGTATAGATACTACGTGTTTATACGGTAACACTGTGGCATGACCGTAACTTCCAAGTGTGTCTCAGTTGATCGACCGAAAGGATATTTCATGATAACGGTCCGAATGTGACCCTTTTTTTAGACACATCAAGTTATTTTTTCACTCTTAAATTCGACATCTCACTCTATGACTCAACACTTGCTCGGTAGACCAACACTTATCCTATGTCCCCACACTCACTCGGTAAAGCAACACTTACTCGATAAACCAACACTTACTCAACACTGCGACTACCCCATCCATCTCTCCTTTACCACCATCCCGACTCATATTGCTTCCTCCCCAAAGATTCCCAAAAAATCTTCAACCGGATTTTCCTCAAACTTATCACATCCAACTGGGGGATTCATCACTGCCGCACCCACTTCATCGGGTCTTCCTCCGCTCAAATTCTATCCTCGTCGTCAATATTAGACATATCCCAAAAACTTTTTCCACACGATGAACGGTTCGAAGGACCCCACTCTAGTCCTCGGCACTTTGACTCTGTTACCTTTCCTTGGACTATCAACCATCAACAAGATACAAGTCTCGCCGTTGCTTTTCACATACCTTTCATTCCCCTACGGTCCAAAAATCATCACATCGTCGTCGATTGAAACTTTCTTTACCGGGCGAATCATAACATCTCATTTTATCGTCCATATGATTTCCTTCCCTCCATTCTCGTCTTCGGTTGGTCGAGACGGGATGATCCCAACACGAGTGTCTGCCATTTTCTCGAGACGAATCAGACCCATCTTAGTCTCCCCTCGTCAAACTCGTTCGGACGATGTCCAGTCAGAGGTCATACTGGAGGAGAGTAAAGTGATTTTTCAAACCGATACGTGTAATTTGTCTTGAGACCACAAAATGAATCACGACAAACTCGTACTCAGCACAAGTTTCACAATGCCGACCATGCGACACTTGTGCGACCTGCAGTCAAATTGGATGGTTCCATAGCAATCGACGTTGCGAAACTTTTGCTGGGTGACAGTGTTCCTATCATTCTCAAATCATGGTCATGTTTGTGATTGGGTGACGAGTGAACATGGTGAAGGGACAAGACATGTCGGGTTTTCATGTAAAAGAAAAACGCGTTGTTGGATGATCATGATAAAAGATCAAAGGATAATAAATAGGGAAGCGATGATACGCAGGTGAAATACTAAGTGTAGGAATAATGTTCATACTTGTATGCATGTACATCTTGTTCATCTTGTTCATCACTTCCTCTCAATCATTTTCGACTAGAGTAGTTCATTATCTTCCGGATTAACATTTCATACCTTGACATACATTGTACGATCCATACTTTGTAAATCACCCGGATAGTTTCTTCAGGATGTAAGTTACTACTCACACTCTTAATATCTCTGAGCATTCACAAACCACCATCTCATCTACATATGACACTTATGAAATGTTCGAGTGACTGGACACGTCATTGACAAAGTTTAAATCTTATGCATCTCTTTCGACCCTCTGGTGAAATACTCCTCGAGTACAGTGATCATGCCCCCATACCTGCCACAACTCACTAACACTACAATACTATCACTCCCACTTCAACCCACTTTCCATCATGAAATCCACCCTGTTTATCCTTATATACTTTACGCAAGTATCACCTCATCGCTGTGACTACCTTGTAGATGAATACCTCACGCCCTACCAAACCCACCAGTGAAGAAAACGGCAGGTAACTCATTTGCGTAATCACTCCAAGGTCTTTCAACAATTACTAATTCTTCTCTCCTCCTTTCTCCCCTACTTACTTCCTCTCCTAACTTGTTTCCCTCATCCATCAGATGAACATCGTTCGAAGATGAAAACCATCCAACACCCACTACACACCTGAATTCCGTATTCAACTTTATCCTCTCTCCACTCATCTTCATTGCGTTCTTCTCTACCATCTCACCTATCTCACCCAGTCCGTGAATCTTCTCAACCCCATTCTTCCCACTCACCCTATCCACCTGGTCAATTCCATTCATCCCGCCAGTCCCATCCCTCTCACCAGGCTCATTCCCCTCGTCATACGACTCCACACCGTTAACAACGGTGGGCATCGCTTTCCGACGTCGTGATCTTTTCCTGATCTTCTCCCTCGGTCGAAGTATCGAATCCAGGTCCAACCTCGCAGTGACGATCCATTCCCCGGACCAGAATACCACTTTTACCAATCTATCATTTTCTCCAGTATCATCGTTCGTCTTTCCTTGACTAGTCGGTATTTGACTGGACGTGACTACACTATGAGATGGAATGGTAGGAGAAAATACCATACCAGTCACAGGCAGATATTGACCTTTTAACACTTCGTTCAAATGGTCAACCTCTTTCGTTGATGGGAGGAAAGATTTAGAATCGGGATGATAGATCTCCAATGTGTGAGTAGGTAAAAGTATGAACAAGAGGGATGGATGAGAAGGGGGGAATGATAAAGTGATAGGTGACGATGGGAATGTTGGGAGGGTAGAGTAGAGCTGGTATGTAAGCTAAATCTATTGAAACTAGGCCTGGCAACTCTAACAAAAACTATCCTGTCACTGCGGTGAAAACGAGATGTGTATGGTATCCGGTGAAGCGGTGGGACTTTGGCGATAGTTTTCATGTGGACGCTGTCATTGGGTTCGAGAACGACGGAAGGGAACTTGAGGATTCCAGTGTATTGAGTCATGGATCAAGGATCATGGCAAGAACATGTGAGCAGGATTATGTCCAAGATGGGATTTGAAAAACTAGAGAATGAATGAGAATCACCCGGACGAACGTAGTGAAGAATCGCTCTGACTCACCCGCATCGTATCGAGATTATAAACCCCCACCCAACTCCCCACTGCAACAGCCGTCCACTGACCGTCCGAACTTGCTGTCAAACAAGACACCCACTTGGTCCCCGTGTCAGCACCTCGCCCTCGGTCTCTCACTTTCAGATCCCCTGCGACGTCCTCGTCCCCATCATTCTCATCTTCTGAACTATCTCGACGATCAACGTCCATCGATTCATCTTCACCTTGTCCCTCATCTCCGTTGACAGTCCCACTAATGACACCATTGGCATGAATGTGAGAAAGACCATTAGACATTTTGAGGCGAGAATTGTGGGTAGGTTTCCCTCGGAGGACCTTTCCTGACGTTTCACATTTGAAAACACCGACTATCTTCACATCCAAACCCTCTCTCTTTTCCTCACTCGAGTCGTTCGCTTGATCCTCGGAATCACCGGAGTGTCCATTCTCGTGAACATCTGAATGAAGTAGCTCGCTCTCAAAGTCATGTTGACCGATGTGGAGTGTATTGAGAGAGTGAATAGGCGTATGTTTTAAAGAGGGAAGATCTAGAACGACGACTTCACCCGAAACTAAGCCCAATACCAACCTTTTGTTATCCGGTGTGAACATGACTGTCGACGCGCCGCTATTCTTCGTCACGGACGGATGTGAGTTTAGTAGGTCAGGAAGCGACTTGATACGTTTCGGCTTGAGAGGGGTAGTTGAGGGATCTAGAAGGAAGAGTTTCGGTTCGTACAGGTCTGAAACGACAATCCACCTTCCGTCCGGTGAGATGGAAGAGGAGATCAAGTTGGTTCGAAGCTGATGTCAGCGGGACACCAATGTCATGGTGAGTTGAGTCATAAGTCTCTCACAGGAATATGAATTTGGTGAGAAGGCGGACGGACTGGTTCATTGACAGGAAGAGACACGGTGTCTGTCAGGTGTAGTGTCAGATGGGCGTCCAGTCCAGCCTGAGTTACTCTGACCCGCGCATGCGCATCTAAAGGAGGCTGAGGAAGAGACACGAAACGGACGCGACGATGAAGTAGTTCTGAGAAGGATGACCATTTGCTCACCTTAAAATCCATTTCCAATACCTTTTCCCACCCTTCATCACCTTGTTTAACCCTCCAAACCCCCACGCCTCTATCTCTCCTACCCAAAATCAACCTCCCAATCTCCGCCACGGACACTCTCCCCTCTGACAAAGGCGATAATCTCCTCACTAAAGCATCTTCAAAAACCACCCTCGACTTGCCCGGTTTGCCTAATGGGTTTTTGAGTCGTTCGGAGATTAACGAAGGTTCCGAAGCTGGGAGAAGGGAAAGATGCATGTCCCATCCCCCTGAAGCCAGTATAGGTGAGTGATTCGGATTGATGCGTCGTTCCCTGATCCGGGGAAACGTCCTCGTATCAGGTCGAGCAACAATAGAGTCAGAAGGGTGGGCGGCGATTGTCGATTCAGGGGTGTTAGTGGTGGTTGTAGAATAAGATTGAAGTTGATTGGGGAGACATACGTAAGGAGGGAATATGGAAAGAGATCGGATGTCGTGTGTGTGCATACGACGGGAAGAAGTGAGCGTCCAGGTGGGTGGAGATGATGGAGAGGAGGGAGGTAGGAGAACGAATTGACATATTCTTTGATCTGGTCCAGACGTGTAAATTGTTTTTCCGCCCTGGTCGTCAGTACAGAACTGTGGATGCCCAAGAATAATGACACGTTTCACACACAGCTACCACATCGACACAGAGGTCAGATGGGTGGAGCGGGAGCGGGATGAAGGCAGTGGATGATAGACAGAACTTGGGGGTCTGTTGGTAGTAGACTAAGATATGCGTGTCGCAAGAGGGGACGGGGACTATGCCAGATAAAGAGTTCACTTACAGGCCCGACGACCAAACACATTCCATCCGCTTTATGTGCCCCAAAACTCTGTCTCTGAGCCATAGTCTTTCCATCCCAGAACACCACACTCCCTAATGAATCACTAGTCACCACTCCACCATCTGGCAATACAGCTATCCCCCATACTATGGTACCTTTTTGTCCAGCACGTAATTTTGTATTACCCCCTTTTGAGATTTTCTCCACTACCGCTCTAGATTTTAGTGTGACTCGGTTTGATCCCGCTGCTGAACCTATCGTCGATGAGTGGGAGAGTTGAGGTAGTTCCCATTTCCTGAAACTAGAATCGGAATTACCAGTGACGACATAAGTATCTTTCCAATTCCACTGATTATCGATTTGTATCAATTCGGGTGGACCCCAGGCGATGGAGACTGTGCGGACTCGAGATGGGAGAGGGTCGCAGCGGAGTAGATGGGATGGAGGGGAGAGACCGTCGGGGGTGATGGATAGGAAGTGGAGGGAGGAGGAGGTTGTGGAGAGACAGAGGAGGGAATGTGTGGGAGAGACTGAGATAGACCATAGAGGTGGAGAGGGAATAGGGTATGTGTTCTGGGTGTCAGCATGGAGGGATAATACTGAACTACAATAGATACTGTGACAGTATTGAGAGCCACAAATGAGATATAAGCGAGGCTGTCAATTAAGTTGGGAGAGAAGAGAGGAGAGGAAGTGTAAGTAAGCTAAACCCACAAGTATCCTCCCGGTGTGTAAACATCTCTCCACCAAATCATCCGAATCAGAAGAAGAAACGAACAATCTCAAATCTTCCACCTTTGGTACATCATACCCCTTTGTCCAGAATTCCTCAGGATCACGAATGACCAAAGTCATGGTCGATATACCTTGATGAGTGAGGGTGGGAGGGAGGATCTTTTGCAAGAACCAATTTGAGTATCCATTAGGGGATTCGCACATGTTGCCATATTTCCACTTGACCGTCTCTCTCGCGACGAAGAGAGGTGACGGTTGATAAGATCCATCAGTGTGTGTTTTAGAGATGGAAGGGTTTGAGGAGGAGGTATGGATAGGTGGAAGTGGTAGAGGAGAGAAAGAGATCAAGGTGATGGGTGAAGGTGTATGGTCGTAGAAACGTATCCTGTGCAGTGGGATGGTGGGAGGTGACATTGTGACTTGAAGCTAGATTTCTACCAGCAGGTTATGAGTATCCTCCTCTGTTATTCCCCCTTGTACAAGTCTAGTGTGGGGGATGGTGTATGTTGTATGGAGGATGATGAGAACGGCGATAGCAATAGCGAGATGGTCGGAAGGGAAAGAAATTTCATTGCCAAAATTCAAGTCACGTGACTTTCCCTCCACCCAAACTCTCCTACCTCGTCTCCCTACAACTCACCTATATCTCTCTTGTCTATGCCTACTTACATAACAACCACCCAATTGGACTGATCAAGTGATCCTCTCCGTCCTCTACAGCCTACCTCTCTTCTATCGACCCACTGTACACCCGTTTACCCCATAAAACCTCGTGACACAACCCCTCACCCCGATGCCGTCCCTCCTCATCCTCATCGTAGACCTCCACCCTCTATCCTGGTCCCTCCTCTCCATCCCTCCATCACCTCAACCATCAGATCCGACCCTCTCCCCGATCATAGCCAAATCTCTTCCCTCCTCACTAACCCTGGAAGAGTTCATCACCCAATTACTAGTCTTTCTCAACGCTCACCTCGCCAGTCAATGGGGAAACAGAGTAGTGGTGTATGGTGTGTCGGCGGGTAAGAGCAGGTTGTTGTTCCCCGCTCCCTCAACCACTCGGGATGATACGAATACTCCCAGTGGAAACGTATATGAACCGTTCAGACTTTTAGATAGTGGGTTGGAGCAGGGGTTGAGGGGGATGATGAGTGAGGAGGGTGCACGGGAGGGTAAAGGGTTGAACGGTGGGTTATATTTCCACTTCATCATACACCTCCCCATCTTGTCTCATGTAGAGTGAGAATACCGAGAAGAAACAATGACCGATCACAGAACCACCCGCTTTGGTAGCGGCCATGACCAAGGCTTTGTGTTGTGAGTAGACATTGATCTTCCCCCTGACCTCACCTATCCCATCTTCTATCTCACCTCTAGAAATGTCTTTCATCAACCTTCCCATCCTTAGCATCATCACTTTCACTGATACTCTATAACATCCTCACCAAGTGACATGAATCATATCTGTCGCTTCATATAGATCTATCTCCCCGTCTTGGGTGAGCTCTGTCTTGAAAACAAACTATACTCCATCTTTGTCGCTGAATTGTGACACACCGACCTAACACACAGACCTCAACCGTCTCTCCCCTTCCACCGCTACCCTCCAGACCACCGACACCAGGATGTTAATAATCAACGCCACTCCTGGATCTTCTTTCTCCGAATCTGATTCTTCTGGTGGGTTGAGAGGAGGTTATGTGGGTTTGATGAATTGTGTGTTTGCCGCTCAGAAGGGTGTGAGTTATTTCCCTTTTCCTCTATTCGGTCTCTTTCCAGATTCGCTTTCACCTACTCTGGATTCATTCTGACTTTTTAGAAAATCCCAATCGACGTACTTACCCTTCCCCCGAGTTATACCCAAACCTCCCCACCGATATTTCTCCAACAAGCCGCTCATCTGACCGGTGGGATGTATTGGAGGTGGAATGGACGTGGTGGTGTTTTACAGTATTTACACGTTGGTTCATATATTTCATCACGATCCACAATCTTTCCCCGTTTTCATACACAATGCAGCTTGTTCATATCTTCTTCATCACTTCCCACCTTTAGTGTCGCATTATATATCTTTTCACCGGAAACAATAATGGCAAACGGAGAGAAGTGAATCTCCCTGACAAACAGAGCATCTACTTACCCCCTCC